GGGACACTCTGTATATATTTTTTTCAATTTTCAATCAACTCAAACGCCCTGTATATGAAAATTCAATCTTGTTATTGTCATTAAAGTGTTATTGTTGCGGTTTCGATAAGCTCGCGCTAGCGCTACCCCGCTTTCCCGCTAGAACACAATCATTTCCATCACATACCTAACTGAACGTTTCCACAGACACACGATACATTGTTTATGTTGAATTTCTTTCGATATATTTTGAACGATATCCCTCAAACCATGCGACTTTGCATATAGGTATATTGACATTTCCGAGAATTGTCCATAAAAAATCCTATTTTGAGAGAGTACCCACACACGTCACGTGATGTCATTTCACCAGAAGAAAAAAAACAACAGCATGACGCGTCACCCACTATAAAATAAATAATTGATTATTCAAGTATTTGTTTCCAATACGAGAGAGAGCGCGCGCGCGCTTATCATTCTAAGGGATCTCTCGCTTTGCTGGATCTTCGAACGCCATGAAGCGAGACAGCGTTGCCACACACAATAATGTAACAATATTAACATCCAAACACATACGTCCGACAACGTTGCAGCGCCGAGCGCTCGAGCCGCCTTACTCTCTACCTCGATAGATCCGTTGCAAAGATAAGCGCGCGCCAGCGATGGATATTATTTTCGACTCGAAGTTTCTTATCTCTGGAATGCATCTCTCGCTTCACTCTACCTCGATGGATCCGTTGCAAAGATAAGCGCGCGCGCGCGCGCCAGCAATGGATATCCCGTTTGAATAGCATTTAAATAATTGAAATATCACGGAGGTCGGAATACCACAGTGCGTATATACGCTGCCTCATAATGCGAAGGTCCCTGGTTCAATTTCCCCCACCGGCGGTGACAGCTTTTTTTAATTTATTTATTTAAAAATTCATCATGATTAAGATGTCATAACCTCACAATTTCAAATTTACCGTCATCAGCGCCGCCGCCATCTGCAAATTTGAACTTCGCGCCACCAGCGACACCAGCGACACCAGCGCCAACGCTAACTAGCGGCATTTTATTGCGGCTCTGGCGATCAATCCGCTTTGTATTACTACTCACGTGATCAGGTAAAAATCAAATGAATCAATGAAATAAATGATCAAAGTGGAATGAAATGTTGAATGAATAAATGAATCATAGATTTCGGGAGAAAAACAACTTCTTGCCTGGCTGATGCCTTGCAGGATATTGAATTACATCTTCCCGAAATCTATGCGTCGACTCGTATAAAAGGAGAGTGATACAAGTGATTCTTTCCTTGATGCCCATTGATTTCAATGTAGCCAGGCCACGCTAGACACCTACAGACCGGTTTCGAGCTCTCTGACTCTCATCAGTGTAGAGCAGTCTTCAGCCAGCAGTCCTAAGACCTCCTACTAAGCGTAGCCTAGCCAAACAGGAAGCAAGTCAGGCATTATATTCCCTCAGAGGCGTCCTCCACAAAAAATATAAAAGGTACGCCATCTGAATAGAAGGAAAGGAAAGAAATATTTCGAAACAAAAATTTCCATACGGGGGTCGCTAACGTAATTTCAACTAGGGAATATAATGAAACAACGAATATACATCGCTCTATCATTCCTCACGGACAATAATTGTGAATGTAGTTATTTAGGAAATTGTGAAATTTTGGAATTTTCGGCTCCAAGCCTTTTGTTCAATTTCTGTCATAATTGGCTTGAGAATTATTTTCGAAACTCAATGGTGCTTATCCTTGCTATTCAAGTGTTGTCAAAAATAAGGATATGGGGATTTGTCTTTCGTTCTTGCCAGTCCAAATATCATCCAGATAACATAATGCGGTTCTGTCTTGAAAAAACATATACTGTTCCAATCAGTCGACGTTCGGCATAATAAAACATTCTTGGGTAGGGACGCTGCAACTCGAATACTATAATTAGAAATCAGTGGAGGAGACGTTATGACATGAATCTAATCAATATTATTCAATTTCATATAATTATATATTTTTTTTCGGATATTTCCTGTTTATCATAATTGTTGATCATTGTTTTTAATCCAGTCTACTATATGGATTCTTAATACAGGGTGTCCGGAAATTAGCCTGCCTATTTAATGTAGTCCCTGTATTATACACTGCTGATCGACATTTTGAAATGATTTCATTTTCACTACATTGGACATGGAAAGTTTAGTTCTTGTATCAAATTGCATCTTTTTATCACACAGAGTTTCGAAAGTACTCGAGAAATATCATCTTCAGGAGCCCCCTTTCAGGGGGCCGTAGCTTCCTTAGGAGACATTTCTCGACTTATGTTCATTGAAAGTTTTCTTTTTATTTTTGGTCGTAAAAGCCGCTGGTGAAGTTTGGCAGGCTAATTTCAGGACACCTTGTGTAATAGGTGAAAGTTCAACTGATTGTAATGAAATATAAATCGTTACTCGCTTTCAAGTAATTTTCAATAGATATTATCAACAATTATTGATAATATATCATATTAGTTCGATATCGGTAGCGACATCTGTGGTAATTATCACGGACATTGAATAGTAATGAAGATTTAACAGTACTTTCAGTTTTCTTTGTTCTACTCTGATAATGGTGATAAGAATCCTAGAATGGCATTAGAGTGACCTCTATCAGTGCGAGGATGAATTCATTGCATAGGTAAACAGGTTATAAGTTGAAATCTTTGTTCGTAAAATTCAACAGGTGTAATAACAGATATATCTGTTAGCCAATAGGATCGATAAAAATCAAGTGAGAACGTATTTTCTCGAAAACAGTGGGGGACTTGAAATCACTCTATTCCATTTTAGACATCTCGAGAATTTTTCATCTGCGATAAATCGAATTCTCCCGTAGAGAAAGGACCCCGCACTTTTAGTACGTAAAATGGTTCTCGGTGAAATTTTCTGAAATTTCAGTATGTTGTAGAATTCGATGAACTGATTGAACCTGCAGAATCGTAAAGTTCTTTGATGAACAGATTCTGAGATACAGGGCGTTGAAGTTACAAATCGGTATTTTTCATTTAATTATTTTCTCGAAATTCAAAGATGCCAAGTACAATTTTCTTCGCTCATATCATTAATGAACCTCCATATTACTCAACATAATTCAGATGGTTCAGATGATGTAATTGTTTACAGAGTGGAACATATAAACATTTCAGTGATGTCTGAAAATTCGATGTAATAATGAAATATCGAAAAAATAATTTAGGCATGCAATATACTATTCTCATTCCATCATGAATCACAATTCATACATTTCATACAGGGTCATTTGAAAAATTGGTGACACCTAAGACCGATTTATTCATACACATCCTGTATATTCGAGTGAATTGTTAACCTCCCAAGATAGCTGATACCGTATAAACATGATTTCGTTGAGATATATAGGGTGATCATGAAGATTTTCGATGATGAAAATGTCAAAAAATCGTGTTTTTTGAAATCACCCTGTTATTCATGATTAACTCGGTGAAATTCCCTAATAATTTTTTATTATATTCATCATTCGCGCCTCAACGCTGTCTTGAAAATTCAGTTTCCTATCATGACGGGTGTCATAGTTATTAATTCAGGAACTTACCATTTGCATGACGAGTTGAAGATACTTGTTCACTTACATTCGCATATAAAGTGGCCGATATTTTTCACAAATAGTGAAACGTGAGAATCTGGAGACGAATATAAGTTTAGTATTCATATACAGGGTGAACATAAGAAATTCAATAACAATAGCAGATATATGAATTTAATAATATTAATATAATGTACAGATAGTTAGGCGAATTTCGTTGGTATACAAGCTCTGCCAAAATAAAAAACGAACAATACCTAGGAGATGGGAGAATGATTCGGTCTTTCACGCTTCCATTTCTAATAGGGAGAGTTGAATCCTGGAATCGAAATTCGCCTAACTATCTGTTTATTATATGTTATTATATTAATATTATTAAATTCATATATCTGCTATTGTTATTGAATTTCTTATGTTCACCCTGTATATGAATACTAAACTTATTTTCGTCTCCAGATTCTCACGTTTCACTATTTGTGAAAAATATCGGCCACTATGCGAATGTAAGTGAACAGGTCTCTTCAACTCTTCATGCAAATGGTAAGTTCCTGAATTAATAACTATGACACCCGTCATGATAGGAAACTGAATTTTCAAGGCAGCGTTGAGGAGAGAATGATGAATATATTGAAAAATAATTAGGGAATTTCACCAAGTTAATCATGAATAACCTCGTGAATAACAGGGTGATTTCAAAAAACACGATTTTTTGTCATTTTCATCATCGAAAATCTTCATGATCACCCTATATATCTCAACGAAATCATGTTTATACGGTATCAGCTATCTTGGGAGGTTAACAATTCACTCGAATATACAGGATGTGTATGAATAAATCGGTCTTAGGTGTCACCAATTTTTCAAATGACCCTGTATGAAATGTATGAATTGGGATTCATGATGGAATGAGAATAGTATATTGCATGCCTAAATTATTTTTTCGATATTTCATTATTACATAAAATTTTCAGACATCACTGAAATGTTTATATGTTCCACTCTGTAAACAATTACATCATCTGAACCATCTGAATTATGTTGAGTAATATGGAGGTTCATTAATGATATGAGCGAAGAAAATTGTACTTGGCATCTTTGAATTTCGAGAAAATAATTAAATGAAAAATACCGATTTGTAACTTCAACGCCCTGTATCTCAGAATCTGTTCATCAAAGAACTATACGATTCTGCAGGTTCAATCAGTTCATCGAATTCTACAACATACTGTAAATTCAGAAAATTTCACCGAGAACCATTTTACGTACTAAAAGTGCGGGGTCCTTTGAAGACTCGAGTTTGTGTGATTGTTTTGAGATATTAGAAGTGAATTGGAGTATGTCAGATTCCAAGTCAAATTGCTCAGATAATGCAGATTTGATTTCAGCTATTTAATTTCAGCACACGGCGTTTCAGAAATGGCCGCTGCTAGGTGAATTTTTGTTCAAACGACAATTTAACATTTTTTGCTTTGATAACATTAATAGCTTGCTTGATAGTGCTGCTATTGAAATGTTGCATCACTTTGGAATGATATGTGAAAATCATCACTTCAGATTCTTCGAAATATACGGTGTGCGAAGAGCACGTGATTGTTGAAGTTTAGCTGAAGTGAAAGAAACTTCTTCCATTGTGGTTTTCTAATATTTTTGCAGTAGATGCAGCTAAGGTGATAAAAGTAATAGAGACCCAAGGAATAATAGATTTTCTGGTCAATTTGGAGTTGACCCATATGAAGAAGATCTTGGATTTTGGTCGCTGGACAAAAGAAAGACATGTTCAGGTGAGTGTACAGTATACAGGGTGTTTCATTGGGAGAGGTGAATAATTCAACTGTTGATAGGGGTCACTTAGGTGATTTGAAAAACCCATGGTTGATGGGTCTTCGACTTCTTATAACCGAGATACAGGATGTTTCCTCAATTTTGTCCATATCTTCATTGTCACATAACTTTCCAACCAACCTGTATATATTTTTAAAAATAGGTACACTTGCTCAATCTACCCTGTGGAATTGATTGAGGCAACAACAAGAGATAAAATCCAGGTCCGGCTTCACTTGAAATTCACAAATTCTTTCTGCCAGAAAACAACACCCTATACATTCGAATTTCTCATTTTTTTTCCATATCTGAAAAGAACATCAACATTTTTATTCAACTATGTGCTTTTAATTCGTGCACAGACGATTTTACTTATTCATATTATGTGCTCAAAATATTATTTTTGCTCGTTTTGGGGTACAATATTCGAATCAGACGAGATTTGATAATTTTATTACCTCCTATTCAGTATACGTCAGTATTACGTTTAGAAGGAGAATTTCATATCGTTCTTTGTTCCAGACTTAGTTGCAGGTCCGTCATCAAAACTATACAGGGCTTTTCACGATGAGCGTTAATTTGACGTTCCTGGCAAACCAGGCAACATATAAATCTGAAATTTCGATGGTATGTATAAATTAACATAATCTACACTACTGAAATATTTGAAACGATCTGGCCTTGCCGCTTCTACTAGAAAGTAGCAGCAACTTATATTTTTCAAATGGGACACCCTGTAGTTCATTACATTCTTGGATTCTTGCTGAACAGCAGAATTCATCGATTCAAAACATTCAAGGTCTAGCGGGACTGATAACTGAGATATAGGATGTGGAAAATCGAGATGTTCCAACTTTAGAAATGTTTTGTGTTGACCATGCAATAATCATGGTCAAAACGGCTTCAATGTCCCTATCACAACTCTCCATTCGATATTCAATTGAAACAGATACAGGGTGGAACAGAAATCTGAATTATGAACCATCCTGTATTTGTTTCGATTAAATGTCAATAGAAACAAAGTTAAGATAGGGACATAAAAGCCGTTTTGATCAATAATAAATATTTTCGCAAAATAATTCTGAAGTTGAAACATCTTGATTTTTCTCACTCTAAATATCTCAGTTATTAGTCGCACTAGACCCCGAACTTTGTGAATCGATTAAATCAGCTCTTCAGGAAGCATCCAGGGTGTCCCATTCGAAGTTACTGCTACTTTCGAGTAGAAGCGGCAACGCCGGATTGTTTCAAATATTTCAGACGTGTAGATCATGTTAATTTATACATACCTTCGAATTTTTAGATTCATCCGTTGTCTGGTTTGCCAGAAACATCTAACTAACGCTTATCGTGAAAAGCCCTGTATAGTTTTGATGATGGACCTGCAACTAAGTCTGAAACAAAGAACGATATGAAATACTCCTTTTGAATGTGATACTCACGTATACTGAATAGGAAGTAATAAAATTGATAAATCTCGTCTGATTCCAATTTTGCACTCCAAAATGAGCAAAAATAATATTTTGAGCACATAATATGAATAGTTAAAATCGTCTGTGCACGAATAAAAACCACTTCGTTGAATAGAAATTCAGATGTTCTTTTCAGATATGGCAAAAAAAATGAGAAATTCGAATGTATAGGGTGTTGTTTTCTGGCAGAAAGAATTTGTGAATTTTAAGTGAAGCCGGACCTGGATTCTATTTTTTGTTGTTGCCTCAATCAGTTCCACAGGGTGTATTGAGCAAGTGTACCAATTTTTGAAAATATATACAGGTTGGTTGGAAAATTATGAGACAATGAAGACATGGACAAAATGTATGAAACATCCTGTATCTCGGTTATAAGAAGTCGAAGACCCATCAACCATGGGTTTTTTGAAATCACTTCAGTGACCCCTATCCACAGTTAAATTATTCACCTTGCCTAATGAAACACCCTGTAGGAGTAGTTAAAACTAAGAGAGCATGACTATCAGCATAGGGAAATACATGCTTTAATCTTAACTGGAACGCGGCCTGTGTTCTAGCGGGGAAGCGGGGTAGCGGGAGCGCGATGGCGTGACATCATCAGTGACAGGGTGTTTGAGTTGAATAAAAATTGAAAATTATATATACAGGGTGTCCCACGGTTAGACCACCCCACTTTAGGGGTAAATATTGAAGGATTGGGGAGTGTGGGTACTCTGAGAGAAGGATTTTTCGCGAACATTCCAAAAATGGCAACTTGCCTATATGCAAAGTCTTAAGGTTTACAAGATATCGCTCTAAATGCGTTGGAAATATCATATGAACTAGTCTCTTTGGATATGACATAGTAGAGATAGTTTCGATTTTTTTTTCCCAGCGTCAAAAGAAAATATGAATAAGTATTGAAGTTGAATTGAATCAAATAACAGGAAATTACTGATAAGAAGATATTATAATAGAAAAACAAGTTTATCATTTGAAAGAAAAAACAAATTTTACAAGAAATGGGAAAAAACAATCTCTTATCAGAAGACAACATATTATGTGAGAAACATTATGTTTTCATTCTACCACCTTGATATATAACAGCGGAGCGCTCTGACAAAATTCAGTCAACGTTCGACATCCACATAAATCAACACCTATAGCCACATCTAATAGCAATCTTGTGTAGTGCCAACTGCTGATACCTAATAAAAGTAAGTTTTTTTTTTCTTTATATTCACCTGGTAATGCAATTTCTTTAAGTAATTTTTTTGTTTTTATTTCTAAGAGCGAATACTATTGCATGATATGTTTTCTTTAATAATTATTTCATTGTTGGTGTACATATCATAATTCATTTCGATGTTTTTCATATTGAAAAGTGAATGACATTGTGTGTTTTCATCGATTCATTTCTTCGTGTACACATCATAATTCACTCATTCTATTTCAAACATTTGAAATGAAGAGATTTTCACTGATGTTGTTTGATCTCTGATTTTTAGGTATCACATTACAGTTAGACAGCCACATAAAATCAACACCTAGTCACATCTGATAGCAATCTTGTGTAGTGCCAAAACTGCCGATATCTAAAAAAGTAAGTTTTTTTCTTAATATTCACTAAAGCTTGATCCTGATGTTTGATGCAATTTCCGTAATTCACTTTTTTTTTGTTTTTATTTCTAAAAGCGAATACTATTGCTTGATATCTTCATTTTTTTTTTTGTGTACATTTCATAATTCATTTCAATGTTTTTTCACATTGAAAAGTGAATGCCATTGCGCGTTTTCATCGATTCATTTTTTCGTGTACACATCATAATTCAACCATTTAAAATGAAAAGACCAGTTCCACAATCTTTTCTTTTTAGATGGATCTGAATGCAATCAATAATGTTGGGCTGTCATGCAACAGGAAAGTGTTGAGGAAACTGAGCCAACTGCCCCTAGATGTGCCACACCCCATTGTCGGAGTGCAAATTAAACTGGGAAAATACGGAGAAGCACCACTCGTTGAGTTGGACGATTGTAAGGTGTTTCTACCAGGCAGAGCGACCCAAGCAATCAAACCTGCGGTGGAGCAGTTTGGACTGAAAAAATACGCTCTCGTCTACAAGGGACGAAAAAACTGTGACCAACTCCATCCCATCGAGCAGTTTGAGATTGTCGAAACAACACCTCAATCACCAACATCATAAGCTATTGAGAATCAGAGTGTGAGTCATTTTACTTTGTCACTTTTCGCAAGATACATTTGTAAAGATGAATATCGCTAAAAAATCAGATAACTTAGTGATAACCATTAGGAAACTAAAGAAAATTTTGTTTGATAATTTCACTGATAGGGATGAAAAAATTTGGTTAAATCGCTTAAAGAGGTACATAAGATTATGTAACAATGAAATTAATAAGAATAAGATGTCCATAGGCTTGATGAGAAAGTTTCAAACGAATGTTGGTCATTTTAAGCATTTTCGCAATTTAATTCGAAATAGACATCGAGACAGTAGAGGGCTTGAGTTGAAAAATAGGGTTCAATGGAGAGATGTGGCATCAGGTTTTTCAAGTAGAATCAGAACGGGAATAATCATCAATATAACACATAAGGACTTGGAGCAATTTTTTATAGATGCATTCATTTTATTCAAAAATAAAATCAAAAATATATTGAAGGGATTTCCAATTATTAAAGTGAACGCTAATTTCTGTGGAGAATTCATAAAGAAATCAGATGATGCAGAAATTATCGAATTGAAATATTTCAACACTAAAAATGCCATTGTGGACGTAGGAACGGATTTACAACATTGGTACTATGATAATGTTCAGGACAAAATTTTGAATAAATTAAGCGAATTTCAAGAACGTGACTCTGGGTGGGCTTTGCATAAAATAATATCAATGGAAGTTAATATTAACAAACTTGAAATGGGAAATGGTTCATCCTTTATTAGACTGCCAGAACAAATTTCTAAAAAGCGAGCATGTTTGAATATAAAAAATACTGACTCGGCATGTTTTTATTGGTCAATCATAAGTGCCTTCTACCCAGCGAAAACAAATAGGGAACGGACTTCTTCATATCCATATTACACTACAGTTCTGAAAACAGTAGATTTAGATGCACCCATGTCTCTACGTCAAATTCCAAAATTTGAAAAAGACAATAACATTTCCGTGAATGTATACACATTAGAGTTGAATTTAGTCAAGAAAAAATCATATTATACTGTGGTGCCAGCCAGACTTACAAAAAATAAATTAGAAAGGCACGTTAATCTATTGCTAATTCAAAACAAATATTATCCAAAATTAAATGATTATGAGGCTCCTCCGATTGATGAAGAAGATTCTGACATCAAATACCATTACTGTTTGATTCAAGATATGTCTAGATTAATATCAAGCCAAGTGAATAAACATAATGGTAAAAAATTTATTTGTGAAAGATGCATGAATTATTTTCAATGTGAACAAAAATTGATTGATCATGAAATGCTGTGTTCTGAATTGAACCAATGCAAAGTTTCATTTCCAAAATATGATCACATAGAATTCAAAAATTTCACCTACCAACAAACCACCCCCTTTATAATTTATGCAGACTTTGAATGTCAATTAGAACATGTGGATGATATGGTTTCATCAAAAACAAGCAAATATCAGAAACATGTGGCTCATAGTGCAGGCTATTATTTTAAATGTGATTTCGATGATTCCTTGTCGTTTTTCAATAGCCATAGGGGTGAAGATTGTATGGATTGGTTTGCAAATGAAATGTCGAAGATAGCTGAAATCGTGCAATCTAAAATCAAAACAATCGTGCCAATGACTGTTAGTCCTGACAAATGCAAAGCAAAAATCTGTCATATTTGTGAGAAACCATTCAGGGAGAAAGACATTATCGTAGCCGATCATAATCACTTTTCAGGCGATTTCAGGGGGTGGGCGCATCAAGCACCCTGTAACATAAATTTCAAGAAACTCTTTGTTGTTCCAATTGCATTTCACAACCTGATAGGATATGATTCACATTTCATGATCAGTCAATTGAGTAAAAAGGGTCGTATGAGCGTACTTCCAATAAACATGGAAAAGTACATATCTTTCACTTTACATGATGACAATACAGACATCAAATTCCGATTTATTGACTCTTTTCGCTTCATGGGTACATCCTTAGATAAATTATCTTCAATCATGGATAGAAAAGATTTTGAAATTTTGAAAAAAGAATTCAGTCATTTGAATGATGATACATTCAACCTCCTCACCAAGAAGGGTGTCTTTCCCTACGATTACATTAGTTGTTTGGAAAAATTGAATGATACTGAATTACCTACAAAGAAATATTTTTATAATAAATTGAATGATGAACACATTAGCGATGAGCAGTACGCCCATGCTCAAAAGGTATGGTCATCATTCAAAATTCAAAATTTAGGGGAATATTCTGACTTATATTTAAAAACAGACGTTATGTTGTTGACCGCTGTTTTCGAGAAATTCCGGCAGAAATGTAGGACAACTTATGGGTTAGATCCAGCATGGTACTATACCATGCCTGGATATACATGGGATGCCATGTTAAAGTACACCAAATGCAAACTGGAATTATTGAATGACGTTGATAAAATCATGTTCATCGAGAAGGCATTACGTGGTGGTATTTCTGTTTGTAGTGGTAGGTATTCAGAAGCTAATAACAAGTATATGTCTGAATATGATTCCAATAAACCTTCAAAATATCTCATGTATTTAGATGTAAATAATTTGTACGGTTGGGCAATGTCAGAGTCTTTACCATTCGGAGATTTCTCATGGATGGAAAACGTTGAAAATTTCAACGTAATGAATATTGCTGATGATGCTCTTGAAGGATATATTTTACAAGTAGACTTAGAATATCCTCGCGACTTGCATAACAATCACAAAGACTTTCCATTTGCTGCTGAACATCGCATACCACCCGGCTCAAAATTACCAAAATTAATGACAACACTTTACGACAAAAAAGATTATATTTTACACTATAGAAATTTAAAACAATGTTTAGCAAACGGACTGAAACTGACGAAAATCCACAAAATTTTGAAATTCAGGCAATCTTTTTGGCTCAAATCATATATAGATCTGAATACTTCTTTGAGGACTGCCGCAACAAATGAATTTGAGAAAAATCTCTATAAACTAATGAATAATGCAGTTTTCGGTAAGACGATGGAAAACATACGAAAGCATAGATTAGTGAAACTAGTAAGATCATGGCAGGGACGTTATGGAGCCAGAAATCTCATAGCTAGTCCACGATTCCGTGGTAGAACAATTTTTGAAGAAAACTTGATTGCCATAGAGATGCAGAAAACCGAAATAATTTTTAATAAACCTCTATACGTAGGAATGGCCATTTTAGATTTATCAAAATTGTGTATGTACAAATTTCACTATGAGTATATGATTCCGAAAATGGGTATTGAAAGGTGTAAATTGTTATATATGGATACAGACAGCTTCATATATGAATTGAAATGTGATGATGCATATGAAGAAGTTATAAAGGCTGATCTCTCTCAATTTGACACATCTGAATATGCTCCAGATAATAAATATAATATGCCACTAGTCAATAAAAAAAAGTTGGGTTTATTAAAAGATGAAGCAAATGGGAAAATCGTTACTAATTTCGTAGGACTACGTTCGAAAATGTATGCATATAAAGTACAAGGGGGTAAGATTGTCAAAAAATCGAAAGGGGTGAAAACTAATGTTGTCAAGAATAAAATTGGGTTCGAAGATTATTTGAATTGTTTGAAGAATTTCGGAGCACAAACAGTGTCTCAACGTACTATCCGTTCATATGCCCACAATGTGTTTAGCATTCAACAATCAAAAATTGCTCTGAGTCCCAAAGATGATAAACGGTATTTGATTCCAGGTTCGTTCGACACATTGCCATGGGGTCATACACAGGCAAAAGAGTAATTTTTTCATGTAAATCATCTCATCAAACATTTATAAAGAAAAAAAAAAAAAACCATACACCTACACTTACACTCCTCTGTTTTAGATTTAGAATTATTATTTGGGCTTAAAGAACGATATGAATGTGATATGGATTTACATGATTCACATTATCAGAGATATGAGAGATTCATCGATTCTGGTGATGAACATACAGATATTGATTCTTGACTTACTTTAACAATATTTTACAGATTTTAGTAGCATGATATCATCTTTACAAATGTAGTTTGCGAAAGAAGACAATGAAAAATGACTTTTTTTTTCCAGAATATGTTTTTTCTTATGAAAATGTAATACTTGCCCTGGCTATTAATGAAAATATAATATATGCTGTCTATCTATCATTAATAAAATAATTATTGAAATTTTCTGTGTATCATTGGGATGGGTAGTGAGTGTAAGGGAGAGTGAGAGGGTAAAAAAGTGAGAAGAAGAGAGAGAGAGAGAGAGAGAGAGAGAGAGAAAGAGAGAGAGAGAGAGATTGGACGGATATTAGTTGAAGGTATGGATGTAAAAAACAGTTGTATCATGTCTTCTGACGAATACAGACGTGCACTAGAAGAATTTGGGTTGAAAGTTAGAAAGCTCAGTGCAGACATCCAATTGTATGAGCAGAAAGTTTGTTTGTTCAAAGATTTCGAGCAATTGAGTGTTTGGGACAAGGTGTTCACAGAACCAAGACGTTCAGTTGCAACGTTTCCTACATCGAGAAGAATCCAACCAACACAGCTACTAGATGGCGATACTGAAAGCAAGCTTCATTCTATTGACAGCTCTGAGCAACAACGTCTTCTACACAAACATACCGTACAATACGAGGAATGCAGCCGTATGTTTTGATGTGAATCGTACACAACAGTGTGATTGGAAGCTGATGAGTAGAATGTATGTCAATGATAACAAACTACCTGTATATTCAATCGACATGCCTCGAGTCAATGGGACCACCATCGACTACAAATTGAAATTATCGTTTTCTGATGGCAGTGACGGTGAAATGGGAGACTGGCAGACATTTACATTGAAGAAATCACCCGCAAAATTAGATGATGATCAAGATTCTGTCAATATCATTGCAATTTTGACACTTTGTTGTACACTAATATGTTCACTCATTTTAATCTCGCATGTTATTTTCATTATACTGAGAAATAAGGGATGTGATGAATAAAAACTCTGAAATTACGATATATAGTTTTTTATTTTGGCAATAAATTACATAACCAATTATATAAAGTATCGACATTGTGGAGACTGCACTGGAACCTTCCTCCATGGAAATGATTCATGCAGGGTGGAATGGATTGTAGGAACGTTATTGGTTGCCACCAAGAATTGTCAAAATCTTCCAAATTAACAATGTGATTGGTCATCTCCAACTCTGCACATTTTCGCTGCAAAAACTGAATCTTTTGATGGCCTCTTACGTAGATGATGTTTGTCTGCTGCAGGTTATCTCGTAGTATTTGATCCAACTCATTCAAATCCACATAACCACTGGAATATTTTAAACCATGAACGTAACGCTCCACATGATTTGCCATCTTTTTATCTTCTCTGCTTAAACTGGAAAATTCTACAGATGGCTTGAATAGAAAATGACTCGTCTTTTTGCCTATGCGAATGGTCATTTCCTTTGGAATGAATTCACCATCAACCGTGAACCCTTGAATGTCAACCAGTGCGATCTCCATGACTCTTCGAAGCAAACTGACGTCTGACTGATGTCACAACACCCACCTAGGCAATATTTCGAACAATTTCGCTGAGTGGGAGATGTTCCATGATTTGATCATGAATGATGATGCAATAGGCTTTGGTGTCGGGAGGGAAGCCTGTAGTCGCTTCAATGTCCAACTTTATGTCAACTGTGGACGACTTTAGACCCAGATGGCGCCTCGAGCAATCGATAACAAACATTGGTCGGGATTTGAATTCGGCAAAGTTTACTAGAGAGCGCTTTTCTTGACAGTTATGGTAGCTCTTGTTGGACTCTGTATAGTTGAAGTGGGCGTCGGCATATTGGTCTCGGGAAAAGTCCAATAGCATTCTTTCTTGCGGATAATAGTCGCTATTCAGAGCCAATCGTATGGATTTGATGTTGGCATTATCGAACAAGGTGACATCCTCATGCAAATTATCGGCTTTTTTCGTTTGGAAAAATACTATAACATATCTTGGACTGTCCAATGCAGAACATGTCTTTACGGACCAGATTTCTATGGTAGATCCTTGTGTGAGTGCTGGTAGCTCGTGCAATTCCCATCGGCGAAACGGTATCATCATAGACTCATCTGCTTTGATACGTGTCAACAACTGCAACTTTATGTCATCGTTGGGTGTGAGATGTGGCACTTTCAAATTGATGCTTTCTATCGTTATTTTAGCAATACTCTGAGTCTGAGGAGATCCTTGCAAAGCAGTATTCGCTCTCTCGACAACCTTCACACTATTGGCATCATTGCGAGCTCTCACTAAACGGATTGACTGCTTGCCCCACGTTGCCACTTGATGATCATTGAAGATGGAAAACAAATGTTTCAGTGGAATGTTCATGCTAAACGTACCATCGGTGTTGATGATCGGAGCATTGGGATAGTTCCAGCCTGCTATGGCTAGATGACGTGAGTCTTCAGGTGTATAACACAAGTATCCTCGCACAGTACTCGTTATTCCAGGATATCTGACAGTGTCCAATTCTTTATTACATAATTCATAGGTGCAGGAATCAAAGAGATAAGCTCCAGCATTGTGGGTTAATGTACCAGTACCACCACCGGTCACCTTCAATTTACCCTTGATGGTAATGATGCCTTCAAACATGGCCAACCACGAATCTGCTTGATTAACCGTTATATCGATGACATCATTGTTCTCGAATGATTTCACATATGGATAATAGGTACGCCATTCCACTTTAGTGATGCTTTCGTCGAGTCTGGGTTTGCGGAAAACGTCGAACACGGGTGCTAACAACATTGTAGTCTTTGAATGATTTCAGAAACAGGACACTGGATGATGTCAATGTTTTTCTGCTGCTGCTCTTCGAAGACACGACTGCTTTGGCGCACGGTGTCGAGAGAACTGGTGCCAATGATGTTGCTGATGATGGTATATTATCTGATTTATAGGAGTAATCAAACACTAGTACCATCTTGCGAGTTTCTTCAATTCCAATCTTATGATGATTTCTTCACCTCTAAAATTCACCTGCCTGAAATCTTGGTCTAGAATCTGGAGTGTAATGTTGGGCAATTCCCGCCTGCTGACTATAGGTAGATAGATTAGATTTCTGGGAGTCTCGTCTATGGCGTAACCAGGATCGACTGCAACTGCAAACTCGTAGATCGTATGTGATGGTCTGTCGTTGTAGAGAGCTCCAGCAGTAACGTTGCTATCAATGTGAATGGTTCTCACTTTGGTTATGGTGACAGGCAAATCGGAAGTGTGGACTTGTTGTGCGTTCAACAATCTATTTGAAAATCCCAAGACTTGAGCTATGCTATCCTTCGGGCGAAAATCAATGGCAAACTGTTTGCTCGAAATCTCACACTTTAGTGTATTATTGTTGGGCTTCAACGAGAATATATCATCAACGTCCTTTGCACTTGAGATGCCCAATTCTTTGCGTATGAATGTCTCAATGTCCACAATGTCGTATGAACCTTCGGGAATATCGATGATCTTTCCCGCCTTGGTCTTATCTTGCAGATAAAACTTTGATCCTTTGTCGATATTCGGTATACTGTTGTATGAATGGAATCCCAACAATGCTAGTCCGTAATCAGAGTCTGGATCGAGTTGGAGTGGTGTCAAAAAGTCTATGGAGAGCGTAGATGTACGACCTTTCAACGTCACAATCAGAGACATGACTGATGCACAATGACCGAGTTACTTGGTCTCATTAAAAAGGAATTCTAAACATAGACGTCCACAATTACTTTGATTGAAATTCTGGTATTGATTGTTATTGTACAAGATTTTCGTGCTGGCACCCAAATATTGCGCCAATTCTCTGGGCGGTTTCAGATTGCCATAACTATCGAAATATAAGGCTTTTTTATCATTTTTTATGTAAGCCACCCAATGAGTGCCCGCATGATTGGAGGTATCCAAATTCAATACAGCACACTCGCGATGCCATGGACCGGTGGAAGGTAGAGTGTCCCGCATAAAAACACCTCGAAAATACGGTATTTTCAGCTGTTTGGCATACTTTATCACATCTTTATCGTACATTGATTTATTGGGTAGCTTGTCTAGAAGTTTTTTGAGTTTTTTGATTGTTTCTTCAAGTACAGTCCGAATCCTCTCGATGTTTTGCGTAGAAATAGGCCGGAACCCTGCTTGCCGATAGCCTCCATTGCTTTATTATGTCTTTGATCTTCTTCGAGCTTTTTCTTTGCATTTTTCGCATCAATGACTGTCTTTGCGACTGCTCCGGCTCCTCCAGCTAGAGATCCTAGGGCTCCCAAGGCGGCAAAGATTGGTATCAATGGTAGTATACCGCCACTGTGTGGAAGAGGTATGATTCTTGGTACTCTGATTCTTTTTTTACCGCCAGCCCTCTTGACTGCCATTCTGGCTGCATGGAGTGCTTTCAATGCAGATTTATTCAGACCACTTCCTGATGTTGTACTACCACCACCACCATCTGACTTTGATAGTACATTTTTTATGAATTTGATAATGTTGGATAGGGATTGCTGTGATACAAGACCCATGCCAAGTTTTCGTTTGACCTTCATTCCGGTGGTGACAAGCCAAGCAGCAGCCTTCTCTTTGAATTTAGCGTTCTTCGACTTGACTCTCTCCCACGCTCTATTTTCCAATATCCAATCAGCTTTGTGCCTGTCTTCTATTGAGGAATTTTGTGAATAGGCGATATCGTGTTCTCGACACGCGTCGTCCAACGGATTGATACCGGTGTCTCCTCTTGCAAGTCTTTTATCGAGTTTGGTACCTGGACCACAAAATCTGTAGCCTGGAATGTGTAATTCGATGGGAAGTTTATCGATCAGAGAATTAAGCACACCCTCTCCGTGGTAGAGCAACATGAAGACTGACGTGTAGGAAGTTCGACAACTCTGCATATACCTAATGAAATGAAAAATATATCATCACATGATGAAGATCATTCAACAAGAACGGATGTTACCCATTGTGAATCTGGATGAAATTTTGTCAACCAAACCACCAGTAAATAGTAAACATGGGAAACTGCTTCCCCATTCGTTCAGAGCAATCTTCTGCGGACCAAGCGGATGTGGAAAGACCAATGCGATGCTTTCCCTGCTGTTCAATCCAAATGGCGCGAAATTCGAGAACGTTTACGTGTATTCAAAGTCGTTGTACCAACCGAAATATCAATTGCTGCAACAAGTGTTGGATTCAGTGAAAGGTGTTGGGTATTTTCCCTTTAAAGAAAATGATGATGTCATTAGTCCATCAGAAGCGAAAAATAATTCGATATTCATTTTTGATGATGTATCATGCGACAAGCAGCAAAAAATTCGAGAATATTTTTCAATGTGTAGACACAAGGATATTGACGTAGCATACCTATGCCAGACTTTTTCTAAGATACCGAAGCAGCTGGTGCGAGACAACAGTAACCTGTTGGTGTTATTTCGACAGGATGAAATGAATTTGAAGCATGTGTTCGACGAGCATGTCTCACCAGACATGTCATTCGATCAATTTAAAGCATTGTGCTCAGAGTGTTGGAATTCCAACCAATATGGTGCGATGGTGATTGCAAAAACTTTCGATATGAATGCTGGCAGATATAGAAATGGTTTCGATAAGTTCATAAGACTGTGATCTCTGGACCATTCATCAAGATGACGTCAACCAAGATGCATGATGATGTTGCTGATGCGCTGCGCAAGAAAAAAATCAATGAACTATCGAAATCAATCAGAAGAAAATATTTAGCACTAAAATTGGGCAAGTCTGAGGATGATGATGCGTTACAGAAAATATTCCAACCACTGACATCACCTTTGAAACAAATTGCCACCACGTCCAAGGTAATAAAAGAAAAACTCGATGGAACGCTTTCAAACATCAAGCGAAGCAGAGCAAAATCGTTGGGGTTGAAGAAGGAGAAGAAGGAGGAAGAGGATGGGGAGGTTGAGAGGGAGCAATCGGATTTGAACCAAACTAATTTCATACCTATGATGGATGTGGCTGATAATGTTGGGCATACTGAAGATGATGATGAGGATGGTTATGACGATGCTGATGATGAACTTTTTGTAGATAGTGAAAATATCTCACCGGCTGCAATACATGATTACGTTGATCAGTATCCTGCGATGGCTCAAAAATATCTGACTGAATACTGGACAAATGATGAAAATATCGATACGGTTTATGGTCCCAAATATGATCCAGTAACATCGAAATGGTCTCTCAACGGAAAAGAAATGAATTTCCATCGAAGAACTGGAGATATACTTCTTGATGGCTTTCGGTTCCGTGGCACCCCAGGCCTCTATCAATTACTCTTCTATAATGATCCATCCTTTGTCAAAGATGATACGAACCCATACAAGCAAATACTCTTGCTCACCAAAGCTCATCTGAATTCTGCAGGACGTATGAAGTCTTCCTCTAGACTCAAATACGTAGAAATTATTCGTCCAATGTTCAGATCCAATTCCAGTGGTCGTGGTTTGAAGTTGACATACAACACAGCACCTATCGAATACATGTATTGGGATGATCCAAATGAATTGGTAGATAGATTGAAGTTGCTCATTGCATCACAGCAAGCCGGAAATACATCAAACGATAACGAGATTGTTGCCATCTTGAACGAATTAGAAGAGGCAGGCATAATAAAACATGTGTAACATTTCTGTGATACTTCCGTGACACTTCCATGACAACTTCCATGACAGTTCCATGACACTTCCTTGACACTTCAGTGACAGTTCCGTGACAGTTCCGTGACACTTCCTTGACACTTCCGTGACAGTTCCGTGACACTTCCTTGACAGTTCCGTGACACGTCCATGGCATGTCTATGAGTGAAGGGGCTAATAATTGGTGAGGCAAAGTGCCGACCATTATCGATAACGTACAATACTTTAGTCATTAGCATAATGAGTCTCGACAAATTCGGACGTGGTTCGTTTCCACGCTCAGCTCAGATGGTGACAGTCAGATCTGGATTTTCACATACTCCAACCGGTGATATTGATGTTGGTCATTTGAAGATGTGTAACGTAAAACTGCCAACAGATGTCGCTGATGTTGCAAACAAACAATATGTGGATGAAGTTATATCGCAAATAAAGTTAGATTTCAAGATTGCTTTCGATAATTACGGTGAAAAAATCCGAAATTACCTTGCTGGCTTCAGCAACGAAATTATCGATGTACGAAAGAGAGTGGATTCTCATGATCTCAAACTGGCAACGTACAATACAAAC